TTAGTTGATGGTGTTGTTATTAATGCCGCCTGACGGTGTCAGATTGTGGCTCACAAAATTCATCGCGGTAAGAGGTTAGATGTACGCTTGTCGTCAGCCGTAGTTTTGAGCACCATACAGATGACAGTACGATTTGGCTCAGTTCCATCCCAATTTTAAGAGAGAACATCCCGGAGATGGTCAGAGGCCTCTCTTCCCCTTCCACCAACCTCACGAGAGGACTTGCTGTCCGATAGCTATTTAGAGTACCTCCATGGCCCAAAGGTACTATTCATTAACAAACATCCATGTCTTCTCCAGGATTTGAAACCAGGTGCTAAGGTATATCAGTCAGCGTCACTAATCACTATATCGGGTGGGCAGCTGACTATACTTTGTTAATAAAATGATTGGATAATATTAAAAGTATAACAGGATTTCCATACACTCTGTGTCGTATTATTTATCCCCTTCTATCTCCTTTAATGAAGAGCAGAAGAAGAAAATAAAACAAGTTACCGTGATGACGGCAAATTTTGTCTCGTCATGCATCATCCCGCATGTACACTGAGAATATGTCACTGTCACTAGGAAAGAGATGATACACTACCTGACACTGAAATTGGATCACCAAAGATTACAACAAATACTAAACAGCAACAAATAATAACTAGTGTTGATTTTGAAATGACTCTTTTAAGACAATAGAGTGAGAACAATGTCAACTCAGACGGTTGAAAGACCATTGTGAGGTACAGAGTTAATAATAGAAGAGATTGTGCTTGAACGATGATTTTCCATTCCCTCTTTAATATTTTCCATAGTCTCTTCTGTGAATGCTGTGAGGGCAGAGCATGGACGCAAAAGTGTTTTATCGGGAAGAGATCGGAGGAAAACAGTGGCCAGGAAAGCATCTGAACATCATGCTGAGAATACTGTCTGATGCATGCAGTATGCGTTCAGCCATTACCCTGTAGTTAAAGAGTTTCATTATCCTAATTGTTGTTGTTGTTTTCAATCAGTTGATTGATTGATTCATTGTTTATTAAGTCAGACTTTGAACCCACACGAGAGTTAAAAGTGATGATCCTTATAATTTAGAATGCTCGTTACTCGCAATTTAGTAACAAAAACAGTATCTGAGCAGGAAACCTACTCCTTGCGTTCCCACACTAAGCTTTCGACGGATTTAACGTGTTTCCGCTCTACTAGTGGTGGATCTACAGTGGTACCAAGATTCGAACCAATGATTCGATAAAAACACAGCCGGCCAGCCATAAGTTTGCAACCATGACCACTCGGTTACCGTGGCATTTGCGATCAATGGAATTAAAATCCAATTCAATAAAAGGGTGATGCATGCGTAAAAATTATGAGCATGTTCTGTGACATAAAGGTAAGCAAAATGGGGGATATCAACGTTGTAAGACAACTTAAAAAGAAGGAGGAAGGGGGCATTTTCATATATTCTTTGTAGTTTAATTTTAAACCGTACGTACAATGTGGCTGCAATAAACCATGAAGATGTCTTTACACGTGATAGAATGTTTGACAAGCTTGAGGAGAGACTTGGTTTAGAGAGTGAAGCCAAAGAGTTCAGTGTACTTGATAAAGTATTAAATAATATAAGTGTTTGGAAAAACTACCAAACTGTGTAAGAATATATGTAAGAAAAGTTGATGGTGGTCGGCCAATAAAAACAAAGGAAAATTATGACCGCTATATTATATCGCAGGTGAGCATTTATTAACGTCACACTGAAAACAAAATTAGGGCTTTAAGTCCGAGGGCGGAACAAATTCAAGTGATGAGGACGACACCCCACTCTCCTAACGTCTACACCACACCAACACGATTTCGAGTCATGATAGGTTCAATATACATCAACCCCTCTATACTGTGAATCTTCAGTCGTATCAGGACACAAAAACCCACTACTCGACAGCATTGACTGCGAGTTCGTGACCATTATCACTAGAGTATAGAGTATCGTGCAGGCGAAATGAGGTTACACTCAAGAGACAATCGTGCCTTCTGGAGGGTACTAGAAAACTGATACAGATGCTCAGTGAGGCATGGGAACTCTTATTAAGCAATCAATGTGTTGAGTATGTGAACAAAAGGTGCCTTGCAACCATTATAAATAGGACAGGTCTTTTATCTTACTAAGGGACTGTAGATTCATTTCCTTCTTGTCCAATCAGTTTCTTTTTATGTGTAACATCTTTCCTCTCGGTTGCTGGATATTTGTCGGAGTGATTTCGTGAAAAGGGACGGAAATGGGTAACAGGAAGTGACGTCAATGGGAACTTGGTGAGATCTTGGCGATAGTGTCAACTGGGCATCATATTTGGCGACCAAGTTTGCCGCCAATTTGGTGACATTGGCTACCATGTTGGCGAGTTCCCATGATTCTGAGTGGTGATTTTAACTTTAACTTCAGTTTGCCAAAAGATGAGCCGCTCATAGCTTTTTTGAAGGATGAACTCAAGCTCGAAATGAACACAAATCAAAATGTTTCGACAACTGTCAGTGGTAATGTTATTGACGCTGTTTTTCAACGGTTTTTAAATACTTTGAAATCACAAGTATATGTGTCATATTTTAGTTATCATAAGTTAATTGCCACCGCTCTTTCCCAAATCGAACAAGAGTAATTATTTTTGACAAGAAATTGCATTACTCCTTGTGTTAATTAAATAAAATTTTCATTAAAGATATAGTTATTCGATAGAAAATTATTTCCAATCATACCCGATTCATTTTTTTCAGGATATATGTTACTATTACGTATTAACCACGACAACATGTCAGATGTTACACATCATGTGCGGCTACTGTAAGGCTCGTTTCTTTTCTTTTTGTTTTTGTTTTATCCTTTAACACGAATTTTTTTTTTGTATAAAACCATTTTATCACTAAAGTAGTTTTGTGCTTTTTTCCATACTGTACGCGATCTCTTCATTTTTTTTGTTGCTATACTTTCTTCATCCCTTAAGTACTACATTGCACCTTAGTTGTGTATGAATTTCATGTCTCCTAGTTAATTGTTTGTGAAATTAAGACAAAATATTAGAAAGCGCTATTGTACAAAAACATAGCAGTATACATAGATATTTAGATCTTTCTTTGCTATGAATAAATAGTTGAACTTTAACAATATAGATAAAGGCTGAGATTGCAGTGTTGTTGTTTTAAGGCTGTTTTCGGTAAAAGTACGAGAGCTCTAACTAAACACGAAGCACATTTTTAGACAGAAAAATGACCCAATTAACCATGGAAATTTGCAATATTGTAACTCGTACCTCTGTTAACAATATAGTATTTTTAAAAATTTCAAAATATTTTGTGAATACTTTCTTTTTTTGTTTTAATACGTGAAGGCAAAGCCCATTTAACATTACGGTATAGGATAAAAAAATGCAAAACACATTTCATACCACAAAAAATGAATCAACTCGGATTAAAATGGGAAGTATGATAAAATTGTTGTTCTCTATAGGATAGTGAAGCCAGAATATCATATTAAGGTTTCATTTCTTTTATATCTGAAAAAATGTTCCAAATTCGGGTCCTATTCTTTAGCATTAACCGAAAACAGCCTTAATATGGTTTATTAATCTGAGAAATACCGAGAAAATTCGAAAAGAAAACAGAATGAAGCATTTCTACAATATTACTTTACTGTTAACCATTACAATAATAAGAAACAAGCTCGGTCTCGGTTTAATTTGTTATTTGTTGTATCAATGAAATACGGGATCAGTAGCGCAACGGAGAATATTAGCTCCCCCCCTTGCAATTCCCGGTTTTGGTCCCCAAATGCAACTACGTACTTGGCGTCAGTCAGGGTTTGGTCCCCTTAGAGTCCCTTCCCCTCCCTCTCAATGCAGGGGTGTACGTTACGCCACTGCCTGGGGTCCGAACATTCATTTTATGCCAGTGAACCAAATTAATACTATTAAAAATCCTCAAATAGAAAAAAATTAAAACGAAAAAAAAAAAAAAACTTTGAACTATTTATGCCAAGGAAAATATATTTATTGGTGTCATATGAAGTTTTATATCTCATTACTAGAATGAGTGAATATTAACAATACAATTAGAGGGCGAGCTCAGGTTTCGTCCTTGTCACTTGACCATGGTTCAAAATTACGAGATCCGTCCCCAATAGCCCTTACGCAGTTTTTTCGTGCGACGTTAATATAACTCCCCCTCACTCACTCATGCATGTTGATAAACATTCACTTACTTACTTGCCGATAGTCCTAGTTAAGTTTCAAAATAATTTGACACTGATAAACAATTATAGTCAACTATATAACATTTGGTAAAACTTTAGAAAACGAACCTTTTTAAATGGGTTTCAATCATGCTTAACTCTTATTAGTATTATATACTCTAATCAGTTCAGATTTAATCAAACTAACAGCTGATATCAAACTTTTTAAACAGATACTCTTTGTATTTATAAATAAATATTCTTCTCGTTCATTTTGAAATAAAAAATGACTAACTAAAATATCCACAGGCCTGGATTAAAAAAAAAATACCATCTTTCATCCAAATTATTAATCCTGTTATTATTGATTATAATATTCCTTTATATGTTATAAAACCTCTTAATAAAATAATTATTTTCTTTTATGAGGAGGGAAGGTGTAGAATCGTTTATATATTTGGTTTCGAAACTGGATTATCAGAATTTCTAAGCTAGATTAAATTTAAAAATAACGACAAAAAAAAATAAGTCAATTCCTAATTAGGTCAACAAAGAAAATTTTTATTTTAGTTACTTTTTATTAAAGAGTTATAATTAATATAAATATGTATATATACATTGACAGAATCACAATATTAAATGAATAAATAGAAAGCGATTTTCCTTGCAATTTACCATTTTCCTTTCTATATAGGATGTTGGACTATTTTTTTGTTTGTTACTATTTATTCATTAATTAAATTTAATAATTCTAATAAAATAGTATAGTAAAAAGAAATCACATTCTCAGAAATTCGACCATCCCAGGTGGCATTCGAACCCACGACCATTGAATTAAAAATTCAACACGCTACCCCTTGCGCTAAGGGAACACAACGAACAATTTTCCTTTCTATATATGCTGTTGGACTATTATTTTTGTGTTACTATTTATTCATTTTTTAATATAATTAATGAATTAATATTTGAAAAAACTGTAATAACATCAAGTGTCATACATAACAAATTTTAAAAAATGTATTTGAACCTGAATGGATGAATAGAAAGTATTCTATTAACGATTGAAAACTTGAACAAGAAATATAAATACATATATGTTACCGTTAAAGTGTGAAATCCGTTATTTCATAGAATAACTAGGTATTTCATGAAATAACTAGATTAATCAGTTAAAGTATATAAAATTATTGAATTCTATTTTTTAACTAAGTATTCTACAGAAGAACGATTATTTGATCATTAAAGTATGAAATACGGCACTCGAAAGTTTTTAGAGCTATTTCTAGCTACTTTTAGTCAATTTTAAACCCCAATTCAAAGCGTCATCACAGCAATACTTGCTGTAATAAAAAAGGAAAAGTAAAATAAAGGTACTTCATAATGCTAAAATTAGTATTCTCTTACAATTTTGTTTACACACAATGTTTTTATGAAACAAAAGTTTTTCTTCCGAGCAGTAATTTTTTGATAGTATTTAAATTTATCTATTTCTGCAACATATTCCTTTTTTACCCTTTCTATTTAACTAATGTTAACAATATGAGCAATAATAAATTATTTCATCTGATTTTCCTTACTATTTGTTAATTAATCATCCCCAATAGGGATAAAATTTATTTTTCGAGAGATTTTAGCTATATTTATGTTCAATTAATTTATAAAATAACTTTGAAAAAGTTTTAAACTTTAACGATTTATCACTAGTTATTTCATAAAATGGCCAGCTATTTCATAGAATAACCAGTTATTTCATAGAATAATCAGGTAAAGTATGAAATTTTTCATCTATTATCTACTATCTATTATATACATCTGACTTGTCTAGTTATTTCATGAAATACCTAGTTATTCTTTGAAATAACTTCCTTATTCACTTTAACGGTAACATATATATGTATAGGAAAAAAGTGAACTTATATAAGGAATTGAAAAAAAAAATACCTTCATTTTTTTTTTTATTTATATATATATTAGATAAAATCTCATAATAATATAAATAAATATAGTGATACTTCTAACTATGAAAAAAATTCGTTACATTTTATGGTAAGGAGGTGAAAAAACTGTTCCAATCTTCCCTCGTATGTCATAAAAATCTTGGAAAATAAAGACTGGAAGAGTTACCGTTTAAATTATACTGGTCTATAGGAATAAAAAATTATTTACCCATCCTTAATTTTAATACTAAACTATGCTGACGTTATTTTACATAACTTTATTAAACCTGGCCCATTCATTTTGTAATAATACATGTTTAAGTTAGAAACAGATAGTAATTACACTAATGGTTTTATTTGAAATCCGGATTGTATGTTCTTTAGTTCATATACATAAGATTTTCATCTAATTAAATTAAAGTTGTATTCACACCAAGGCTATCGGCGTTGAGCGTTGAGCGTCTAGCCAATCAGAGACTTCATTTCGCCCAAAATGAAGTCACTGATTGGCTAGACGCTCAACGCTCGACGCTGACAGCCTTGGTGTGAATGCAGCTTAACAGATACGCGAGTCAAGATCTTTTAACAACTTGCTTACTAATAACTCAATTAAAGCATTCAAATTAATTTTTATAAAAAAACCCTCTAAATTTACATAGTAAAATACAAAAGTATTTTTCTTATTTATTATTAATTTCTTTTAATTTCTTCTAATTTATTTAGTTTTTACATCCATTTTTCCATTTTAATTACCAAAAATATGTATGATCTTACTTCATGAATCCTACAAACTACCATTAACTTGTTTATATAAATTATCTGTATAAAACACACACACACACAAAAAGAAATAATAAATAATAAAATAAAACAAAATAAAAATACGGGGGATAAAATAAACTAGTCACAGTAATACATTGACAAATCCTTAATCCTAATATTGTAAGGTTCAACAACATTTTAATACTCCGAACTTTCCCTCCTTTCAATTATATATATATATATATATATATATATATATATATATATATATATATATATAATAAAAAATTGTGCAAAAGGTTCATCAACATCCGATACTTAAGAAATTTCTTAAAAAGATTTTAATGATAAATTATATAAGAAATTAATAGCTATAATTTATATTTGACCAGTTTTAAAAACTTTCAAATGTCTATAATTGCTCTAACTGTCAGTATCATATTTCGAAAAAGATTTGTCACTCCTGATTTCACAGTTGACTTCGGAATTGGTGGCGAAGTCGCCCTTTTCCCACAAGTTGTCGTATTCCGTGCCAACCAATGCATTTGTTATATATGCAACATTTTTTAAATGAATTTTTTTTTGAATAATGTAAAAGAGTTATTAAAGACTGTTAACAATTAAAAGAAAAAATTATATCATTTTGCTTACACCATCGACGTATATTTGTTTCATCCGTGTCAAATTTTCGATGGTCACTGCTCTGTTTCCCTTTTTGTCTGCATATAAAATTACCTTCCTTTTCATATTTGCATCATAGTGAACTCGTCTTGGTGCTATTACCGAATCTTTGATGTTAAGGTGATTAGAAGAAAGCGTATACAAAAAAAAATTTCCTAAATAAGAGCAAACAACAATGTTTAGTATGGACGGTTACATTTTTCGTTTTGAAAAGGGTAGAAACTCAATTTCCCCCATCCAACGAATTTCTTGCCTTCGATTCTAAGTCGCACCCGATTTTCAGTAGCATTCACACTGGCAAAATAGCGTGGCTTAGATTCGAGTAAATACGGTGCATTGAGAATTTCGATTAATATTGTAATTCAGAAACAAATTTTTATTTGATTTTAATAATATAGAAAGCATTACTTGTCTAGTTTTATAAATTTTAATAGTAATTTATTTAAAATTTCTAAATTTTCTTTGCGGAATATTGACTAGCTATAGATACATACAGAATATTATGGAGCATTATAGTATAAAAAAACTTAGGATAAATTTTACATTATAAAACGGTTTCATTTTAAATAGGCTTGAAGCGAATGTAGTATCAGATTTACATGTTGAAATCCATTTTTGTTCTAGGTATATAACCACATTTTGAAACAATGTATTTAATTTATATTAGTATTTAAATAACTATTTTGCTCCTAAGCATACAAATAAAAATGTCCTATGATTTTTGTAACACATTTTCTTTTGTTTTTCTTGTTCTTTGTTTCGTATATTACCGAACTGCATATTACGGCTTCTAAGAAAGTGTTACCTATGCCGCTTGTGGATATTACACATACTCTTATATTGATTACTTACTATAAAAATAAATAATTCAAATGAAAATATCTTACCTCAAAATTTAAAAAGGAGATTTAGGTTTTTTTACTGGATTTAAAACTAGTTTTATGTTTTGATTATATTTCTTTATAGTTAGTAATAAATGTACAATTCTGTAAGCAGGCAATATATTTGATTTATATTGCTTCAAACTGCTAAAGACTGTTCAAGCAATTAAAAAAACATTTCTATCTTTATAGAACTCTTTTTTTTTCTCTGTCTTTATTTTATAACTCAAAAGAATATTACATTTATATACCTCTTACAGTTTTTTACGCCTTTTATGAGTCAATTTATTATATAAACTATATAACAGTCATATTAAACAACAAAATTTGGTATTCTAAAAAACTAAACAACTAACAAATAACTTAAGTAATAAATAATAATCTCGAAATATCCTAAATCGGTAAGCTAATCACGCAGCAATAACCACCCGTTATTAGCAGATGAAATACTATCAGAAAAAAAACATACCAATTTTACTTGTGGGAGCGCTATTCTTAAAATAACCATCAATGGGTAGCTTTCTACATTCTTAAAATAAATAATCTTTTCTATCTTCTTTATAAAATACATTTTATCTTATAACCAATTGTTAAATAATGTTATAAGCAAAATTAGTAGCCATCTAACACAAAACTTTCAAAACTCCTAGACCTGTTTTATTTAAAACATCTAAACAGAATTTTTTTTGTTGCCACATGATCAAAATGGGAAAAAATATAATTAATTCGATTTTAACAAATATCGTTTGCATCATAAATTTATTATAAATTGTATGAATTACGATATCGTCTGCAAATAAAAGTAACTATTGCAGATCATATAAATTACGATATCGATCGACTGCAATATATAAGAAAATATAAATATTGTAAATTACATTATTAACTGAAATATAAAATAAATATGGGGACACTGGATCTTTTGTATGCTATTACCATTAATATGGCCTTACACAATAACTTTTAAAATAGAGCATATACATTAGCGCGTTAAATAAATATTTACTGAAATATCCCTTCTATTTATCCATGGTGGGAGCTAAAACGAAAAATATATAGTAATTAAAAAAAACATTTTGTATAGTACTAATGCGACTTATAATAATGCAATTTATGAAAATTGTATACATTAATTAATAATTTAATTGTAGTTTTGTTTCATATTCGAAAGTCTTTAAAGAAATTATTTGAAAATTCAAATCTTTTCTCCAAGATTCTGTTATGAAAATGAGGGTTATATATTTATTATATTACTTTTATTAATTCCTCCTCTCAATGTTGTGAATTTGCCGAAGGAAACAAAAACATTATTTTTTTCCCAGAAAATTGGGTGCTATTATCTTAAAGTAAATTTCCCCTTTAAACATATTGAAAACTTTTTTTTATAATACCAATGCAAAATTTTTAAGAAGAGTAATTAATAAAATAATAATTATTTGCAAATATGATGATATTTCGTAATAAACATTAATTTATATCACGAAAAAGTAAACTACTATGACAATTTCTCAGTATTTTACAAAGCATTAAAGTTAATTTTGACCTGTATAAAATGTTTCTCATATGGATATTTAAGAATAACCCACTGTAATTTTTTGCATCATTTCAATA